CCTATGTACAACATACCTATGTACAACATACCTATGTACAACATACCGGGCTTTGGGATGGTTTTCCTCCAACAACATCCAACAACCTGTATATTCCAGGGAATCTGAGGGGGTCAGAGGCGGCAAACTGGTAAACAGATGCAGTTGACTCAATCGGATGTCATGGTTTCCAGAATGCATAGAATGCGTAGAATTTGTCCACCGCGTCTCCCAGTCGAATAGCCTACGTGCTACTGCTAGATGCCCACATGGCCCAGAGTCCAGTGGTAGGAAAGCTGTCAAATTTGTTGCTGTAGTCTCTTGCACACATGTTTGGCTTCGTTAAACTTGAACCAGTTCACGAAACGCTATGGCATGTTCTCGTATTTGGGGTGTACTTCCTTGTGAAGGCGGAAAACCGCCTGTTGAAAGTTGAAAGAGACCCCAGCCCGTTGAAGTGCATGCGCCATTGCTTCTCTCAGGTTAGGGCGTCAAACAGAAACCTCATCCTCTCAGACCATTAAGCAGAGCCATTAAGTACAATTAATAGTAGTATTATGTAGTATTATAGTTGTTTACGATCCACGGTCAGCTGTCTTGTCAAGAATCCCACACCCTCGTCAACAGTCAGATAGCTGCGCAGCACTCCCAAGAATTGCTTTCATTGAACTCCATGTACTTCGCAGGTGAAAGTGCAGGCGGGACAGCGCAGCACGGCCAGTCTTCTGAGATTCCATTTGGAAAAGTAAGAAATAAAAAAAACATGGGGCAACCAAAATCGAGGAGCTGAAAGAACTATGGAAACCTGATGAAACCTCCACGGGAGACTTGTGTTCTGTTCAGCTGAAAGCAGCAAAGAATCTGACGTGAATGAGCCAAGCTTCTGGGTTTCTGCCAGCCTTGGAACCCATGAAGAGAGCCTCTAGTATAGCTGGCCACCCGGAAGTTTGTCAAAGGAGATGCTTCTCACCAGCTAACGTAGACTCTTGATATCTCTTTTCGCACCTCTTAAGTATGGGAGTATCAGTATGATGGAGTATGGGGTGTTGATACGTATCATGAACTATCATCCAGAGTCTACATGCGCCAGGCTGTTCTGACTTGGCCTTCGAATTCTCTCTTGCTCTCTGGCAGGCACATCGCCCTGAGGATGTCTGAGCACTCAGGATGTGAGCAAGGGCCGAACGAACCGACGAGCGATGTTTTTGGGATAAGTTTGGGGGGGTGAAATCGGATTTGTTCATCCAAGATGTCTTTCAGAAAACGAACCAAGACAGAGGGTGAGATGGCCTCACCACCCCAGTCTTTTTTGGCCTCCGTCTTTTTCGGAGGCGGGGATCTTTCCAAGTCTGAGCCAGACTCTTGGCTCAGTCTTCGAGGGTGTGTGTGTGTCAGAGTGTGTGTTTAAAGGGATATGATTGACCCAAACCCGTCGACTCAGGGTGTGTTCGCCTAAGTGTTCGGATTGAAGTAGTACACTCCCTGAAAGCATCATGGATACCGTGGAGTTCACCACCTGTTTGGTCTTCGGATTGCTTCCAAGTAAAAAGCAGTGCCATGCCATCCACGGTGTCCATGGTTTTTTCAGAACGTGTAAACCCGTCAGCGTCCGGACCCGTCATCCGTCAGCGTCCGGAAAACGTTGTTGGAGGTTGTGGCATTGCTTTCTGCTTGGGGCAGGCGACGTGGGGCTGGAGGTGGCCGGAGGTCGTGGTCGGGATCTCACACAGCTGTGTTGGCACCGGGTGCATGCAGTCTTTGGTGACCAAACTAGTGCAGTGAAACAAACTTCTTTCAGACAACAGCGAGCTGCTGAAATGCTTCATCATTTGCAGCCTTCCGGCAGTCATTGAAACAAAAACATCCACATACACTCCACAAAAAAGGATCGCTGGATTGCCGACGGTCTACCCTTTCCGGCAGGCATTTGCTATGTTTTGGCCGAAGACAAAACACCACACCCAGTGACACTTCATGGGACTGGCATATGAAAACCTACATTCACCCATATTCATGGCCGCGTCAGGCCGCGTCCGGTCGCGTGAAGGACTTCGGGCCTGGGGGTCGCGACCATTTTGAGACGTCGGGTCGGGGGGTTCGATGGCAGTTACCCCAACGTTGGGTGGTTTTGTTTTGGGCGCCTATCTTTTAAAGGACATCGACTGGGGTGCTTTTATGCTCAACCTCTGAAACCACTGTGCTTTTGATGCTCAACCTTTACCTGGGTTCTTTTGAACCAACTTGAACCCACTAATTCATACAACTTTTCCTTCATGAGTTGAAAGTACCTTAAGCAGTTGTCTTTCCTTCTTAAGACAGGGCCTCTGATCATCCATCCACAGATCGGAAACCTGGAGACTTTGTCAAAAGATCATCGTTACATGGATGGCACCTATTGGTAGAGGAAAAATGGATCATCCAAGCAACATGGTTCTTTTTTCGAAAAAACATGTTCTATGGTTCCTGGGAGTGTAGAGATCCAACGGTGGGCACACCGGCTCCCCTTTCGACATCTCTCGACCACGACGGCAGGCTTCAGGCGCTGCATGTGGGAGCCATTGAGGAGACTGAAGACGGTTGGAGTCCAAATTATATATAGATCCTAATGGGATATATATATATATGTAGGTATTTATATATATATATATGTGGTACCCCCCCAAAAAAGAAACACACACAACCTTATCATACATATGTATACAAACGATATATTATGTATGTTTATATTTGGGTTTTGGGACTCAGAGCAGATTGAGATATTTGGGAAGTATGACTCATTTATGTCTCAAGTCTGACAAGTGGAGAAACCTGTATGTCTCAAGTCTGGCAAGCGGAGCGTCTTGTTAATCTCAAGTCTGACAAGTCCTTTTTAGTGGATCCAAGATCCAAGATTCCTGGAGGGTCTTCTGCTCTGCACCACTTCAGATCTAGAGCAGATTGAGATATTTGGTCATGCCCAAGTATGACCCACTTCTGACCCAGAGCAGATTGAGATACAGCATTTGGTCTTGCAGGTCAGAAGATCAAAGATCCAAAATGGTGGGTTTTGGTGGGGGGATAGCATATATATATATATAGTTGTGCATATCGAAGAAAAGTCACACGCGTGGATTGCTCTGCATGTGCTTAAAAGCATACAGAGCTATTGCTCTGATGAAGCTCACTTCCCAAACGAACTCCATATACGAAGAGTCGAACAGTTGAGGGACAGCTTGCAGGTGATGGCAGGTTTATACTCCTGGTAAATGTTATATACTCCAGCTTCCTCAAAGTGACCTTTTCAAGGTTCACAAGTGACCCTTAGGAGGCTTAACTGACCTCAAGCCAGGTTATCAAAAGGTCACTTTTAAGAACCAGGTTGATTTATTTTGGATTGTTTTGTGCTTGTCTTAACAGACAGATTGCTGAACTTTGAGGGAGAAGTAGCTTCAACACACAGTGCTTAAAGAGAGTGAACTTGTGGCCCCGGGTGAGATGGTGAGAGCCCATGCTGCGATCCGGACAGCTCCAGGAAACCAGCAGCGTTTTGATGAAAGGCCGGCGAGTTCACGGTCGTTGGGTACGGTGGGCACCTCGAGGGTACAGTGGATTGAGAGGTTCAATGGCACAAGTTACCTTCAAGTTGGGTGTTTTGATTTTGGACTCCCATCCGTCGACAGACATCAACAAGGGTGCGACCACTTGTACCCGAAGGATGTGTGCGATTTGCCGGGCCAAGTATGGCAGCCGGTTCTGAGATGTTCGGGGCAAACCGTTTGGTCCAAACCATCTGGCGAAGGTTTGTTTGGTGGATAAGTTGTCGGACGGTTTTGATAAGTGTGGTGCAGTCCATTGTTTGATTGCTTTTCTTCAGACAGAAAAGTCAGCTCTTTTTCAGTGAGTCATTGGTGTTTGTCACCCACTTCTCTACTTGAATCAGTTTCACACGAAAGATGTTCTTCGCTCTAGCAGAACTAAACACCTCGCCGGGTTCGCGCCTGAAAAATCACAGTTTGGGCACGTGCCGGGTGGCTCGCGCCCGGACAACACCGAACGGTCAGACGACGGCTCCGGCGTGCTCGAGAGCCTTGGTCCCACGGATTTGCGAGAGGTCGCTCGGAGGCATTTGGTTCATGGTGTCTATACCCCTGTTTTGGTTGGGAGTTTCCTTTGGACATGGCGTGAGCCCTGTGTTTTAGATAACATCCATAAGGAGTTCGTGGTGGGTGACGACCTGGGATGGTACACCCAGTGAGTTTGCAGTCGGAATCCGCCCTGGAGGGATCGATGGCGTGTGGATCGTGTGGAGAACAAGTGAGCCCAACTGGGAGAGGTTGACATCATGGATTCGTTGATCAGTCCTATAAAGCCTCACTGTTTGTGTTTTTTTGCATACACCTTGACGTTTGTATTGTTTCACATGAATCATAATGAATCATCTACATGCTCATACATGCTCTATATTTATGTATATAATTACTATGTTTAGAGCAAGTATGTGCATGTTGTTGTGGTTGTTGGTTGTTGGTTATGGTTGTTGTTGTTTGACAATTTGTTGGTTGTTCAAAGTTTGTTTACTATATACATGTGGAGACCCGTTAGATGATGGAAATTGCCGTAGATGTTTCTTCACTGCTTCCTATTGATGTATCATAGGTGTCTCATTCTTTCCCAGTGATTCAATATAATATGATTCAATTATTTGCTTTATTACTAGATCATCTAGATCTACAGGTCAACTGTTTGTGTATTGTATTTGTCTTTAATGGTTCATTAATATTTCTCATTGGCTTGCCTTGGGCTCTTCATTCGCTTTTCATTTGTTGGAATGGTTTCTCATTGGATGGTGTTTTTTACGCTGCCGTCCCAAATCTTTGGGCAACCTGTTTACAGGGGAGGTGTCCCCTGTGGGAGGCCACACCATAAACATTCATAGAATAGATTCTAAGCATAATCAAGCTGAGAACCCTTTAGCTTTGTCAATTGACTGGAGGACTGCAACACAGTTGTCTGCACATGTCTTTTGTTTCTGGTTGTCATGGCGGCAACATGTTGGAAAACACATCCGCCAGACACAAGAAAAAACACGTCGTCCCAGCAGGGTGTTGCCTTTCATTGGAAGATGTTTGCTGTTACAGGCCCTTCTTTCTCTTTCAAAATGGTCTTTCTCCTGTTTCGATTCTCGGTTTCGGCTTGCACCCCACGCGTCCCTCCGCACCTCCTTCGTGCGATTTGGTCTCCGAGGTCGTGGTGGCCTATGCGCGCTCGCGCTGGGCCCGGGGTCCAAGTTTTCTGCTTCGCACCGAGAGACGAGACCACCCGTGCAGCCAGGCCAGCTGGAATTTTGTTCGACCTCAAAGAGGATTCATGCGAATTTGTGGGCACACGGCACACGGAGTGCGTTTTTTGTTTCTTTTTCTGGTTTGCACCCGGGGTCTTCGGAGTTTTGCACGAGACATCCCGTGGGCCACCCGTGAGTCAGTCGTGAACGCATGAGTCAGGCATGTCAGCCGATGGTGAAAGCTGTGGGCGACCAATTGAGTATGCTGGAAGGTGTGGAATGTCCATGGATTTGCTGCTGATGGCTTCACTATGCAGAGTGATATTGCTTGTTTACAGTGGCCACCAGTCACCAAGTCACAAATCAGAACTTTGGAAGTCCAATTGTCACTGCTCGACTCTTCTTTCCGCGCTCCACGTGTGGCCAGGAACTGATTTGAGCTTGCTGCAGGCACGCCAGGGGGGTGCGTGGCCGCATCAAGGACTTGGTAGGAACAAACACGTTTCTATTCTAATCTACTTTACTGACTTCTAGCCACTGAGACCGTTGAGATACCTAGGTCGACTAGGTCGGCAAAAGAAAGGCGCGCTACTTCATATACCCAATACATACCGAATACATACCGATGTCTCTATCAGCCCAGTGGCCATCCGGTCTTCTTGGCAATCGCTCCGATGGGCTCTGTGGACAGATGGGGCTCTTCTTTGGAGAGCACCACCCATGCTTGGGGCAATTGGTGCCATCGAACCTCTCAATCCACTCTAACTGGAACTAACATGGTTACGATGGTTACGTGGATGTCATAGCCCCGAGTTCGGAAGACCATGAAATCCAGTTCAATCCACCATGAATTCCCTTCAGAGGTGAATGGAGCTGTTGGGTGATCATGGGAAGACACTTCCGAGGATCCGAACGAAGTTCCGGGAAAATCTTCACCCAGAAACGGCATCCGGGGTGGTTGAGACATCCTGGTTTTAAGGTGATTTGAATATGTTGCCTACTGGTATGGTCCAATCCTCTAACCTATAGGGAATATATTGTGTTATTTTTTCCAGCTTCCTTATGAAGCAAATCCTAGAAAATCAGAACTTCCGGTCAAACGGGTCAATGGGTCTTCCATGGACTCCCCGCGTTGCCGCGTTGCCGGGGTCGGCAGAACGCCGGGCGTTTTTGATACGGGTGTGTCGCACCATCGTATGCCAAAGTGTGTACCATCATCCTCCAATCAAAAGCTGGACATCACCAGCTGAGACATTTGACGTGTCTCAACCGTCCGCGCCCTCTCGTCTCGCCCCTCTTTTCATCCAACCGGGGCGGTTCGGGCGATGGTCTCCACCGGCCGCAGCAGCGGGAGCTGTTGGAATTCTCGCATTGCACGGTGCATTCCAGGTTGTTCCTCCCAGAGATCTCATGAGATCCCCACTCTGTTTCGACCCGCAGCTCAGATCTTGGCTCCTGTCTTGGTGGCCTTCTCCAGACTGCGCTGGCCCCACACCAGGTTCGGCAGTCCCTGGTGTGTCATGCGCGCCCAGCATGACGCGCGTGGGGATTTCGCACAGGTCCCACCATATCGTTAAATGTCTTTAGAATATATTGACTGACCAATGGATGCAACATGATCTTTGAAGAGAACATGAACATGCGTCAACATGTTCAAGATGTGCCACAGGTCAAGTACTTTATGTTGACTTGATTTAGCATGACATGGAGAAGCCGACTTGAATGCGTTCAACCATTCTGGTGGCGATCTCCAAGTAGGATTCAATGATGCAAAGATGGGTCAAGCTGTTTCAGAAGAGCAGTCGTGCGTTTGGTTTGGATCTTGTGGCACCATGAGGATCCGTGCGCACTTCGCCAGCTGATACAAGAACAACAGGATCACTAGGATCACCTTGCAATCCTGAGTGCTTTTCTCCAGAGGTCTGTCTGAGGTTGGTCATGTAAGATCTCGTGGGAATTGGTTCTCAACATATCAAGAATTACTTTACTTCGAGTGAACCCCCACCAGGACATTTCAATCTGACAAATTGTTTGGTATGTATTGAACCATTATTTCGGCATTCTTTCTGGCATATCTTCTGACATTATTTCTGATATCTTTTCTGGCATACCTTCTAACATTATTTTTGGCATATCTTCTGACATGTCTAACATTAATTATGTCCGGCATATCTTCTAAAATTCTTTCTGGCATCTCTTCTGACACTCTGTCTGACATTCTTTCTGGCATATCTTTTGACATTCTTTCTGACACTGTTTCTTGCATATCTTCTGACACTCTTAGGTCTTTCTGGCATGTCTTCTGACAGTCTTTCTGACACTCTTTCTGGGACATTTGCTGACACTCTTTCTGACATCTTTCTGCCATATCTTCTGACAGTGTTTCTGACATATCTGCTATCTGGCATATCTTCTGACATTCTATTTGGCGTTCTATCTGGCATATCTTCTGACTCGCGGCTAAGGTCCGGTGGGGAGAACACTGCCAGCCGAAGCTTGCGGTTGAGGTCTGGCGGGGAACACCAAGTGAGGTCCGCCGGGGAACACTGCCACACGACCCTCGCAGTTGAGGTCCGGCGGGGAAGACTGCCATCCTGCACTTGCGGTTGAGGTCCGGCGGGTAACGCTGCCATCCGACACTTGCGGTTGAGGAGGTGGAGGAGAAGGAGGACGAGGAGGAGGGGGGAGGAGGCGGAGGAACAAGGCAGCTCACATAAAATCGAACAACCCTCACCAGACAGGTGGTGAAGTACAAGTGGGCTCTGCAATTCCTGTGTTTGGCATTTGTTGCCTGAAACAAAGCAATCCGGAAAAGGAAGGTAAAATACACTGCTCATCATAACACACACACACATGTTTATATATATATGTTCCACATGTCGTTCTTTTTAGACGTTCAACATATCTTGTAACGAGTGCTTAGGACTGATGAGATCGATCACGCGCCAGGCTCCAAGAGCGAACATTGACCACTCTGCAGGACTTGGAGGAGACAACCCGACATGTGGAGGGAGAGTCGGGCCGAGTGTGGGTCATGGATGGACATGGCACCGTGAACCCCACCAAAAAATCGTTCCAGGCGATATCCCTTTTTTTGAGGGGTTTGTTCAATATATGATCCAGGATAAACCACAAAAAATACCGGGGTTTGAACTTTTACCGCGTCTGTCCTGTCCCATTCTGTTCCAACGCGTGTGCCAACCCCGCAGGTCCTTGAGGCTGGTTCCAGACTTGTTGCTTTCCCGACGTCCCGACTAGTTGAGTCGGTCCCCGGTGTTCCAGCGATGGCCGTGAATTCCGAGAGTTTCCAATGGATCGGAGGACGCTACAAGCTTGCCTCAGAGTTTCATGGTTTTGTTTAGGGTGATTTTCATTTTTGCGGATGGGTATATCCCTTGGGGCGGTTTTTGTTTCCGGTTCCTGCGCAGCAAATCCAAGGTTCGAACCCATCAGTTTGTTGAAGGGAGACATTGTGGTGGCGGAGACCTACAAACGGATGAAGCAGGAAAGGATGCAAGCATCGGAGGAAAAGGAGCGCAAGAAACGCAGCGAGTGGCAAAAAGAACAGCAACAAAAACTCCTGGAATTCTTGAAAAAACACCACTTCAACACCAAGGATGTGAATGGTGTGGGAGAGGTGAAGAAACGATTCTTTGGAATGATGAGTTCATACCAACGGCCACTGCATAAGGCCGCAAAGGAGAAGAATGTGGAAATCATTTTACTCCTTCTGCAATACGGTGCAGATCCCATGAGCAAGGACAGCAAGGGAAAGACCGCCTACGACTACGTGGAGTCCTCGCCGCTGCGCGCACGCATGAAAGCAGTGTATGTGAAAAGCCGTGCCAACGGAGAGTCGACCCTTCCTGAGTGATGCGGACCGTGGATGACCGTGGTTCCCATTTTGAATGTAGTGCGCACTGCTTCGAAACTTGAGAGGTAATTACAGACGAGGCAATATATATGCCACGTGATTGTTAGATGGCTGAACATGGCCCGATTTTTACAAATAGGCTCACCTTCTGGTTGGTACGTTTGGATTTCCACTCATTGTGCTCGAGAATCCGATACTTTGGTACTCAGTTTCGCGAATTTTGCTTGGAAGTCCTATAACAGTTTCTACCAGCAGGGGGTGACTGGCGGTGCAAGGTGCAAGGTGCAGCAGCCAAAAATGCTCGGGCTTGAAATAGTCATTGCTCCAAGGAGTCTCACTCAAACAACGGTTTTTGTTTTTGTTTGTGGTTTTTGGCCTGCTCTAATTGAGCAGGATGCTGCAGTATCTTCCGTGCACTTGGACTGATTCATAGCTGGAGCTGGAGCTCAAGCTATCTACCTGAAGACTCAGTAACCATGCGGTGCGGGGTTGACGTGGGTGGCAATGCAACAGCGGCTCTTAGTTAACCCCACGCGAATTGGTTGAGGTTAGGTCTGCCGACTGCACGTCCACAAGCCTGACTTGTGCTTGGAGCAGCCTTATAGTTTATAGGATGATGGGTCCCTGCACGATGGATGGCCTCCTCTATTGTTTCGAAACCTCCCAAGACGTCGTTCTGACCTTGGAAGTGTTTGAAACAGCCATGGTCGCCAGGGCCCATGGTCGCCACAGGTTCCAAGGCCCCCAGTTTCCAAGGAACACCGTGGGCTGGCGTGGGACAAAAGTGCCCCGCTCGATTTTTTGCTTCGGTTCGAGTAGTTCTTGCCTTTGGCTTGGCACATTTGGACTTTGCAGTGCAGCTGTTTTCACTGGCAAGGGGACTTGCAGTGAATCAGTCTAATCGGCAACAGCTTGTTGAAACAATTATATACATAGTTCATTGAATGACCTGCAACCTAGAAGCGAAGGCCTCCAACCTAGAAGCAATCTTTTGTTCCCCCACACTCGCCACAGCAAGTAAGTCGTGCTCCTTATACAGTCCTTTGCTCGGAGGAAAGACGCTGACAAATCGACACCTTAAATATCGAAGTGTCTTCTCTCTCAGCTGCTGAAGGATTTCTTTTCACTTCGCTGCCAATGTTTGGCTACAAACGTAAACCTGCAATTTTCATCAAGCATCCTGCCTTCTTGGACTGGTTCAGACCAGCAGTTGAAGTCAGAACTAGAAGGTCAATCAGTTCACCTTCGGCTGCGTGTTGGCATCGCTGCGCTAAGTCCGTGGCGCGTTTGTTGGTTGAACTCCGTCTTGAACGACGCGTTTCATTTCACAAGCCCTTTCATGTGCTTGGTACAGGGAAGTATTGATGGCTTGCAGGGCTGGTTGTCTTGTCATGTCTTGTTTCTTTGAATTCCTCGTTAAAGAGTGAACCCCTAGAAAAGTCATTTGAACGTGGTTTCTATCTATTTAGGGGACCCGCTAAAAACGTTCACCTTCGAAGATGTGCTGAAAAAAGCAGCTGGCCTTTCAGCCTGTGCCGCCAAACTCTCCAAGGAACTGAGAGTGGCTTTCAAGGGCTTTGCCCTTTCTCTTTCCGTTTCCAGGGTATCGCCTGACCAGATGGGTGCATGCCTGACCAGATTAGTGCATGCCTGTTTATGGTCTGGATCAGAACTTCCATGTCTGGACTTCAGGGATACGTTGTCATGCAAAAAATAGGCACAAGTCTGTCCTGTTGGCACCCAGAACGCCCGGAAGTCCAGGCCACTTCCGCCAGTGAGGGGATTATCACGGATCAGTCCATGGTGCAGATGGTTGAACAAGTTCCTCCAAACTTGCAGCCCATGGATCTTGGTTGTAACCTTCATGAGTTTTCTCAGACTAGAATGGGGGTTCCTGGTCTGCTTCCTGGTTTGTTTGTGGTTGAGAAGTCTCCATAGAGTTGGCCCTCTGCACGCAAGAACATGCAATGAACTCCAAGGGATCCATTGACCTTTGTGCAGCTGCTATTCCCTCAAGACTTGCACATCATCCTAAATTCCATGCAGCATGATCCAGCATATGCAGCAAGATGCAACATCCCGTACCATATGGACTGGTTCAACGTGGCCATTACTTGCAGGCCTTGCAGGCTTCAATTCAGCCAGACTGTGCGGGACATTGAAATTGCTGGGCTGCAACAACGCAGCTTTGCAAAGCTTTGCACGGTGTGGTTGGTCTGCGACGGCTCAACCTTTGCGATGTTTGCACTGAAGTGGAACAAACCCATGTCCCAACTGCGACCTTGAGGAACAGCATCTTCTTCAGTCCGGGTCCGGCAGTCCAGGTCGGGAGTCAGCTTGATCGAGCAGAGGGTTCGGAGAATCGAAAAAGGAAGGGCGACGAAGAGTTGGGCGGGCGAAGAGCTTGGCTATTGTGGCCACCTTCCGTTTGCTGTTCTCTTCTCTTTGTGGACTTTCTTTCTGCATCAAACATGATCAAACTGAGCTACGGTAACTTTTACGGTAACTGCATTTAGGATGTACGGGTCTATTCTGTACGGGTCTATTCTGTACGGTCTGTGTACATGTGGAGCCTGTTGCATGGTGATTTGCATTAGACTCCAATGTTGTGCCAGCTCTTCTTGACCATTGTCGGTTGTTGCTGGCCGCTTTGTTAGATCCTTTTAGCGAATCATGTGGTGCTTGCTTTGGCCCCGGTTCTGATGTTTGTCTAGGCCTTGTATGTGTTGGGCTCATGTCCCTCATGTCACCAGCTCCAGGGTCCGACCGGCAGGTCTTCTTCCAACGCCTCATCCGATCAGCCACCGGCACCGTCAGACCGACCTCAGCACCGGGGTTCCGGTTGCGAATCCGTACGGGTCCAGGACCATCCGAATCGCTCGGATGCCCGACCCCCCGTAAGACCATCCGAAAAGGAGGTACCTGGACCCTATGGGGTAGAGATAGGGGGTGGGATTGCACCTCTGTCCGCCGATGCCATCCCAGGGACCGTCGTTCGGACGACGCTGCGTGAGTCATGCTTTTGGGCCGCGTTGGACGGTGGGACTCGGCCCCTTGGGTGGAGGGAGTGGTCGGAGCGGCCCCCCCAGGTGTCTTGTTGAGCCGAGGACGGCCGAGATGTTGGCTATTTAGCAACGATCACGAAAGATGAATTGATCTGAACTGAACAACAACCGATATCTCAATATATATATATATACCTAGCGCTTCCAATGGGTGTCCTGTCTGGTGATCTATCAGCAGTGAAGGGTTGTCCAGCTAGGTAACCCCTTGGAAGCAGCTGGTATACATATATATATATAATTCAGCTCTTCAGGACACTGATGCTCGCCGGGTGTCCCATTTCCATCGGATGGAATCACAGTGTTTTGTGTCGGTTGTCGGTGGTTCTTCTGCACAGCTTGTTTTCCAGCCTGCATGATGGACAACATGAAAAACAGCAGGGAGTGCATGTTGTATCATTTTGCGCCTGTTTGCTTTTTTCATCCAGCTATTCAACAAGTTTTCCTTGGATGACATGGGTAGATGCATCGGCTTCTCCTCGACTGGTATTCCATGGTGATTTCACCAGTACTCCTGTGATGTGCACAGATAACCCAGCCACTCCATGTAAGGAATATTTACATACATTGGGATGGTTGAAAAGGGGTGAATGTAGGTAAATAATTATGCCATACCCTATTGGAGGTTAGGGGTGCCCATGATCCACTCACTGGATGGGACTAAACACCACCCCGAGCTCTGTGACTCCTGGTACATTCATGGAGTGTTTGGGTCACGCCTGTGCCTGTCGATTTGACTCTTGTCGCCTGTTGAGTGTTTGGGCTTCAAGAGTCTGGTCTGGTTTTCTCCTGGACTCTGAGAGAACAGCGGTATATATATATACTGCTCCGGAGGGACTTGAGCGGGAAGTTAGCTCCGGAAACGAGAGCGGGGAAGACGGGATGGCGCTGCTGAGCTGAAAAAGACACGGAATTCCTTCGTTGCGACGAACGGTAGAAACCCATGGCGACCGAGAAACCCCTGCGGCGCGTCGACTCGAGCTCCTCGAGCGCCCGGACCGGTCGCGTGGGACTCAAAGACACGGACCACGCAGGTCCACGCGACTGACTGAGGTTCCATGGCCCGGGTGGTGAGTTTGTCTGCGCAGGCAAGTGAAGGACATGAGGAGTCCTTGGCCACTTAAGGTGGATGAAATCATGATGAATCATGCTACAAAAGCAGCCTTTTGCTTGGCTCAGCGAAAACAAGTCTGCCAAGAGAGCTGCCTTGGTTAAAGATGTCAAATCTGCTCAATTCTCTTGTAGAACTGAACTTCGTAGCCCTTCATAGCCCTTCCAACAAGTGCTTGTTTGACCTTGCAATGAAGCTTGCCAGGCTTTGCAAGGTTCTGCCATGCTGGGCGGAACTCAAGATCTGTGGCTCACCACTTGCGAGGTGGGTTTCTGCCACTTGCAAGATCAGGTCGACGACCTGTTTGGGAGAATTGCCATTTGCCAACATTGACCCTGGATCAACCACCCCAGTGAGTCAGGTTTTCATCGGCCAGGTCCCATGGAGTTTGGAGGGTCTGGGAGACAGTTTGATGTTTGAAGTGTTTGACAGATTCATTACCCAGACACTCCATGACTCCATGGGACTGGCATATATACCGATCAGTTGGGGTGGTTTGGGGGGGTCAATGTAGGCATATATGGCAGTCCCATGGAGTGTCTGGGTGATAATCTTCTGAATGTACTTTGACACATGCGGATTCTTAACCTCCCTGGAAACTGCAATGGAGGTTCCTCCAATGCCGCTGGATGTTCTCTCAGGTGGCAGCCCAACGATTGCTTTTGGCATGCCCTGACTCTGTTTGGATGCAGCTCAGCTGGGATTCCCAGCCAACTCGGCTTGACTGACCCCTTCTCAGCTCAGCTCGAAGACTCGACTGGGCGAAGCCAAGACTCGCCCGACTCCGTCCTCGTTCAACCGGCGACCACAGACCCCACGAGGGTGAC